ACACACACACACACACACACACACACACACACACACACACACACACAGAGAAGGTGAAATTCTACAAGCACCCCAACAGACCTGGTATCTGGTCATGCGATCCTGTTTCATTTGCTCAAACTTGCGCTTGAGTTCATTTTGACGCTCCCCTTTCTTCTGTGCACGACCCACGTACACTTGCCTGCCATTCAGCTCTTTGCCGTTCATGTCATCAACAGCCTAAAAAAATTAATTTTTTTAAAGTAAAGTCTACAGACACATGCACATAATGTAATATCGATATGTGCCATGTCTAAACCCCGTTAGAACGTTGAATGAAAGTGATGTAAACCTTCTGAGCATCTTCGTGTCTCTCGAAGCTGACAAAACCAAATCCCTTGGATTTGCCACTTTCATCAGTCATAACCCGGACGCTCAGCGCAGGCCCTATTAAAAAAGTATTCAACATATTAAATATGCCAGATTACACTTGATGGCTGGTAACCAGTAAATGTTATGAACTCTGGGCATCTTACCATATTTGCCAAACATTTCCTTCAACTTCTCGTCATCCATGTCCTCACCAAAGTTCTTGATGTACACGTTTGTAAACTCTCTGGCACGTGCCCCAAGCTCAGCCTCCCTCTCTTTACGAGACTTGAAACGTCCAACAAATCTGTAACAAAATTATTGACACTTTTAGAATCATGTCATTGAACAAACTTCACACAGTAAAGGACACTATAGGCTATGATGAATTGTCTGGACTAACATTCACATTCCAAAGGTAGTTTACTGTGTTGCAATGATCATAGTTCATCTAAAGAGGAAGAACAACCTTGAAACCTCCACTTGTGCAGTAAAATATACACGTTCTTAAAAACCAAGGACTCATAGTGATGCTAATGCACTGACAGCATGATGCAGCTCAACACAAATATGAAACTAGTATTAGACGTAAAACGCTGTTAAAGACAGTCCAAGCATTTTTTAAAACAAGCAGCAACACCACTTACACTTTTCGGTCATTGAGCAACATGCCGTTCATTTTCTCAATGGCACGCTCAGCTGCTTCGTGGGTCTCAAAGTGCACAAAGCCGTAACCCTTTGAGCCATTTTCATCACAAACCACCTTGGAATAAGGCAGATTTCATCATGTTAAAAACATTCACAAACACCATGCGTTATAAACACGTCACAATAAAACAGTTTAAACCCAGTAAAGGCTTTAATCATGCAAAGTAACTGCTTGTAGAAAAAACAGACCAAAAAAACAACAGGCCGAGAACTGATAGTTGCATCTACCTTGCAGGACAGGATGTTTCCAAATGCAGAAAATGTGTCATACAGGGCTTTGTTATCAATAGACTTGTCCAGGTTTTTGATGAAGATGTTCCCCACCCCGCTCTTCCTCAGTGAAGGGTCACGCTGAGACCACATGATGCGGAGAGGCCTCCCCTTGATCACGTCAAAGTTCATCGTGTCCAAGGCTCGCTCGGCTAGAAGCAAAAGCACACATTCAGTTTGCACCTGGCCATTTCCACACATGCTCAATATTACCCACCCAGCGCCTGCTGGGGCACTGGAGGTCAGGGGGACTGGACCTACCATCAGCTGGTTGCTGGAAGTTCACGTAGGCGTAGCCAAGCGACCGGCGGGTGATCATGTCCCTGCACACCCTGATGGAGAGGATGGGTCCGGCCGGGCTGAACTTCTCGTACAGCATGGCCTCGGTGACGTCAGGATGCAGGTCTCCTACGTAGAGGGAGGCCATGGGGTAGCTGGGCGCGCTGGGGTTCATGATGGGCTGAGTGCGTTTTCAGACTCACAAGGTTCAAGTTTAGATTCAACCGTGGCCTTCAGTCGACCGGAACTAATAGGTCTTTATTTTTATTTGCCTAAAAAAGCGCAGATAAAGACACTTTTACAACGCGGACTGCGTGGCGTGATTAGCAAGATGTCGCAGCGTGGCCTAGCTAGCACGGCTTACAAATTACTATTTAATTTCAGCTCCTTCGCTGTAGCTTCTTGAAGTTTAGACGGAGTGACGAACAAATACAGTCACGCAGTACAGCAGGTGGAACAACGCGTTGAGTCAGGAACCAGCCGGTTAGCCACGCTTCCAACAACGACGCTAGGACAGGTAGCTGCTAACGACGCTCTCCTCGTTCCGTCTTTCGTTTTGACGGCAGCTCTTCTTTTCAGTTTCTTGGGATGGAAAATCAAATCCTGCTTCACCGATTTTTTTTTTGTTTTTTTTTTCTTATAAAAATATGTCTGCGTGTGCTCTCTAGCTTTTGGTTTGTTTCATAATAATAAAAAGTGTGCCGAGTCTAGCTTCGGAGCACACCCTACGCAGAAGGATTACAAGACTGAAAGGAAGGACGAAAGCACTGCAGCGCGTTCAACAGCCGCTCTTCTCGCGAGACTTCATTTTTAGCGTCGAAGCGTGCACACTCGTTTTAAAGGCGCCAGCCGTGACTGACGTCGCTCATCTCGCGAGATTTCATTTTTAACGTTGAGATATGTTCACTTCAAGTGATTTTGATTGCTAGTGCTGACACTTTATTGTACACTGTAAATAACAAATAAATAAATATTTTTGCCTTCGCTTATTTTGAGGTCTCTGTTGTAAATGAGTCCTCGAGGCTCGATGGGATTTACCTGCCTAAATAAAGGTTGAATGAATGAATGAAGAAAAATGTTAAGTCCAGGACTAATAAACATCTGTGCAGATGATTTTGAAGAGTTTGGAGGGATTAGTTTTCTGTTAAGTTGCGACTTTGAAATTTCTAAATTGCCGATAAAATTATCAGCCTTTCATAAACAGGTTCTGCAATATTGGAAACTTATCTTCAAACACAGTTTCTCACCACATCCAGTTCCACTCTGGGACAACAGATGCATCCTGGTGGTTGGAGACAGGTGTTTGTCTGCTCTACACTTTATGAAAGAAAATGGCAACCTTTTATCATATGATGATTTTATAGAAAAATACACATTAAACTGTACTAAATTAAATTTGAGAGAGTGTTAAAGTCCATTCCTCCTGCTATGATGATCAGATGGTTGATTACATATTTGAATGTTAATCCGAAGAAACCTTTGATTATAAATGGTTGTGACTTCATAGACAAAAACTGTAATAATAAATTCATAAGGAATACTCTGACCTCAATTCTCTTCCACTGTACATTAAGAAGAAAACATCTGTTTAAAAATTATGACAATTCCTCTAAAAAAAATCAAAGCCAAATATCTTTTCTATCCACTCCCACAAAAAACTAAAGAAATTCATTTCAAAATTATGTATGAAATTTATCCTTGCAACGACTTTCTGCAAAATAAATTTAATATAGTTATTAACTCATGTGAATTCTGTAATTCAGATATTGAGACAGCAGAACACCTTTTTTTAAATTGCAATTTCATTAATGCTTTTTGGAAAGATGTTCAGAACTGGATCATATCTAAGAGTTCTATTCCACCTTTAAATTTTACTATAATTAAATTTGGTCTGCTAACAAAGAATGATGTTTTAAATTACGGTAACAACAACTTAATCCTTATGGCTAAATGTTTTAATCCACAAATGCCATTTCCTGAAAATTACCCCCTTGTTCAACATATTTTTAAATTAAATAATTGTATTTAAGGAAGTGCTTAACGCTGCAACCTTCCAAAAAGCCCGTTCCTTATACCAGTACATTAATAGCTTATTTAAAGAACTGAAACTCCTCCTGCATTTGTAACTTTTTTATTTTGCAGTTTCCTCAAATTGTTCATTTTCTTTGTTAATTATATTTCCAGTCATAATTTCTGCTTAGTTTTTTTGTCATATCAACTGTGAACGTGTTTTTCTTGTTATATTACGTTTTGTATTTGTTCTGTTTTTTCAATAAAGACAAAAAAAAACCCATCTCTGCAGAGGTGCCACCAAGGGGAAGGAAGGTGCATCGACCACCCTAAGGGTATTTGCACAGTTTATATATATATATATATATATATATAAACTTTTTTTTTTTCTCGTTTGTTCTGAAGTGGGGTCATGGGGCAGCAGCTTGAGCCCAGACATCTCTTTCCTCTAAGTGAGGGTCCAGCTGCCCTGCAGTAGAAACTCACTTCAGCCGCCTGTCTCCACGGTCTCATTCTTACGGTCACTACCCAGAGCTCGTGACCACAGGTGAGGGTAGGAACGTAGAGCGAGCAGTAAACAGAGAGCTTGGTCTTACAGCTCAGCTCTCTCTTCACCACAACGGACCGGCACAGATTCTGCAATACTATAGATGCTGCACCAATCTGTCTGTCAATCTCATGCTCCATTATTCTGTCACTTGTAACCCTGAGATACTTGAACTCCTCCACTTGAGGCAGAACCTCACCCTCGACCCAAAGAGATCGATCCACCCTTTTCGCACTGAGGACCACGGCCTCAGATTTGGAGGTGCTGATTCTCATCCCAGCAGCTCCACACTCGGCTGTGACCTGCTCCATCGAGAGCTGGAGATCCATGATGCCAACAGGATCACGTCATTTGAAAAAAATAATCCAGTTTATTTCAGAGAGAAGGACAAGCTGAAATAAACTGGATTGTGACTGTGCAACTTTATGAACTGTGTAAAAAAAACTGCTCCTCTTTTTCTACTTCTGTGTTACTTTTCAAACAGCCTAAATAAGACAAAATAAAACCTCGTCACCACCTCCCACGATCATCAGTGGATCCCATCTAGGATCCCCTTTTGAAAAATGGTGACACCTCTGACCAGAGGACCAAGTTTATTTTTCACAACACACAGGCAGGCTTCAGTCTTAAAAAGTTCACAACTGTTTGTAGCACGTGCCAGGTCTGGAAACCTTTTCCTCTCTTCAGACTTTCTTCCTACTTATCTTTACTATCTACATTATCTTTATTAAAAGATTAAAAAAAAAGAATACCCTCTAATAAATGGTTCAAATTGTGTTTTCATTTATTTTGTTAAAAATATGTCCATAGTCATCGCTTTAGGTACCATTCTCACGTTGTAAACCCAGGTAAGGTATAAAACAAATAGCTTTTTTCACAGGTGAGCCAAACTTTCCTTCAGAGGATCATTTTGACTTAATGAGATCACAACACGAGCAGATCACTGTCCCTGCAGAGATTCAACACATCGTCACAGCATGGCTTGTAATTTGCTGCGTTTATGTAAATATTCTGATTTGACTGAAGTCCATTTCAGGGATTCACTTTTCTTTTTTTAATTTAGCATAGATGCTAAATACTCTTATCACAACATGGTTGATCAAACACTTCAGTCAGGTCACACCTCACATACATGTACCACGTCATGGCTACTTGACGTCTGAGTTAGCTGGAAGTACACCTGTGAATATATTTAAAGGTACACCTGTGAATATATTTAAAGGTACACCTGTG